AATGGGGATGTCACAGAGATTGGAAACAAAACAGGTGGCAGTGAGTTACAGAGAAAAGAAAATGGAATTGCAGGAAGGAGAAGGAAACGGTGGATGGAACCCTCTCTGAATCCGCCGCCTAAGAAGAGGGCGGTCTCAGCCGTACGCAAATTTCCACCTGGCTGTGGGAGGACTGCTGTTACCACCGAAGTCAGTGAAGTTTTGAAGGGCTCACCTGTACACACATTTTCTCCTGGCTGTGGGAGGGCTACTGTTACCACCACAGATACTGGTGTTTTGGACGTCTCACCTATAAGCACATTTCCTCCTGGTTGTGGGAGGTCTCCTGTTAATACCACAGGCAGTGGAGATGAGGGGTTACCTTCAGAAACCACCCCTGTCAGCAATGGTGATGCATTGGTGGCAAGTCCGGTTTTAGGAGAGTCGGCTTCTCCAACTTTAGCGCTAGACGCCTCCAATAAGAAATTGGAAAGCAAGAGAATAGTGGATGAAGGACATAGCAAGGCTCACAATAGGGTCCAAGTTCGAGATGATTTTGCTGGTACCAAACAAGATGGTGACCAGCGAAATGTTGTTCCAAAAGCTACACCGAGGAATGTTTCTGATGGGAAGATGAAGGGGAAACTCTCGGCACATAAAGGGAAGCAGGTAGCACAAGAAGTGGTGGATGATAAGATGAAAAATAAACATGATGGAAGTTTGCAAAGAAGTAATCTCAGGACACCTTTGAGCAATTCCATTGATGCAAAGACAAAAGTAAAGAGGTTGGATAGTGACAAGATGAATGCCGGATTGCTTGGTAATGCACGGGCCTCTGCAGGTGGGAAGATGGAAAGTAAGAATTTGAGTGCTAAAAAGGAAGTGGCGTGCTCAAATATGAACACAAAGCAAAAGAAGTTTGCTCGTAAGTTGAAGGGTGATGACATAGGCAAGGATAATTTGCATTCATCTGCTAGGGAGTCCAAGCTTGGAAAACATGTTGCAACTGATCAAATTGAAGAGCCTAATCAAATAATTGTACAAGCATTGATGGCTCCTGACAATTGCCCTTGGACACGAGGAAGAAAGTCTATTGCTAGTGCTTCCAAGTCTCTTGTTCCTAGGAACAAGCCAAAGGGAAAGGATGCTACGTATGCTAGTGCTTCCAAGTCTCTTGTTCCTAGGAACGAGATAAAGGGAAAGGATGCTACTCCAAAAGATATACCAGCAAGAAAAGTGGATTTTAGTGAATCGGTCAATGATGAGACAATGGATGACAATGAGACACGAGGAAGAAAATCTATTGTTAGTACTTCCAAGTCCCTTGTTCCTATGAACAAGCTAGATGCTACTCCAAATGATATACCAATAGGAAAAGTGGCCTCTTTTGAAGCGAGCAATGATGAGACAATGGATGTCAATGATGGCATTAACTTGGAAGATGATGACAACTCTAGGGCGCTAGTTGTGTATGGAGAAAAGCGAGAAATATGTGTCACGGTTCTTCCGTCTGTTCCTTCCGGGTCACACCACAAGCAACCTAGGGACCATGATATAGATGCTCGAAGCAAAGTTAGGAAGTTGCTCCAGTTGTTCCAGGCGACGTATCGAAAGCTTACACAAGTTGAGGAACAAGGTAAACGCAAAGTTGGGAGGATTGACCTTGAAGCAGCTAAGGCACTAAAGAACGACCCTATCTATAAAAAGATTGGGGCTGTTGTGGGAAATATTCCCGGTGTTGAAGTTGGCGATGAATTTCATTTTAGAGTTGAGTTGTCCATAGTTGGTCTCCATCGCCCATTTCAAGGAGGTATTGACGATGCTAAGGTGAATGGTGTCCTCGTTGCTTTAAGTATCGTTGCCTCCGGTGGCTATCCTGACGAATTATCAAGCTCGGGGGAACTAATATACACTGGTTCCGGAGGGAAGGCTGGCGGGAATAAAGGAAGAGATGATCAAAAGCTTGCGCGGGGCAATCTTGCCTTGAAGAATTGCATCAAAACCAAATCCCCAGTTCGTGTGATTCATGGGTTCAAAGGCCAAAGTAGAAGTGAAGTTAGTCATTCTAAAGGCAAGCAAACTTCAACATTTACATATGATGGGTTGTATGAAGTGTTGGAATGTTGGCAAGAAGGCCCAAAAGGTGAGATGGTCTTCAAGTACAAGTTACAGAGGATCGCAGGGCAACCTGAATTAGCCCTACATGCAGTTAAGGCAACAAGGAAGTCTAAAGTTCGTGAAGGTCTTTGTTTGCCTGATATATCTCAAGGAAACGAGAGGATACCCATATGTGTGATCAACACAATTGATGACATGAGGCCAGCACCATTTAAATACATCACCAAAGTCATATATCCAGCTTTGTATGAAAAAGAACCTCCAAAGGGTTGCAACTGTACAAACGGCTGCTCGGACTCTATTAGCTGTGCTTGTGCGGTGAAGAATGGAGGGGAAATACCGTTCAATTTCAACGGTGCTATTGTTGAGGCCAGGCCTCTCATATATGAGTGTGGTCCATCATGCAGGTATGGCTGTGCAAAGACTTAAGTAATCCAAATAACTGTCAACCTGAAAATATTCATTTGTTATTTAGTTTTCTATTGGGTTTTTGAAGTTCCTGTATTTGAATTTCAAACCATGAGAAATATTCCTATTCGTTGGAACTTGTATTTGATGTTACATTAAGGCTTATTGTTGGTTTTAGGTCCAGATGATAGTGACACATTATGAAACATTAAGAACAACAGCTGGTGTCTGGCATATGAAAAATGGTTTCAAAGTTTAGCTATTCTCCTGAAGTTATGGATATCTTTGACAACAAGCAGGCATATTGATACACACCAGACAATTAGCTTAAAACCGAGATAGTAATCTAGCTTTATATACAAGTGAGCTAACCAATTTTTAACCACTACATGCAGGTGCCCGCCAACATGCCACAATAGGGTGAGTCAGCATGGCATCAAAATTCCACTAGAAATATTCAAGACAGGGAAGACAGGTTGGGGTGTAAGATCCCTCAATTCTATATCATCAGGCAGTTTCATATGCGAGTATACTGGTGAGCTATTGAAAGATGAAGAAGCTGAAAAGAGACAGAATGACGAGTATCTATTTGATATTGGTAATAACTTCCATGATGAAGAACTTTGGGAGGGGCTAAAGTCGGTGGTTGGTGTAGGATCTTCTACCTCGTCCTCTGAGACAATGGAAGGCTTCACAATAGATGCAGCTGAGTGTGGCAATGTGGGAAGATTTATCAACCATAGTTGTTCACCAAACCTCTATGCCCAAAATGTTCTCTGGGACCATGATGACATGAGGATGCCGCATGTTATGTTTTTTGCTGTTGAGAATATCCCGCCACTACAGGAGCTGACGTACCATTATAATTATATGGTAGGGGAGGTCTATGACAAGAATCACAAGGAGAAGGTTAAACATTGCTACTGTGGCGCCTCGGATTGCTGTGGCAGGCTCTACTAAAACATTATTGACTGCTGTTAGCTCTATGTTATGAACACCTCTGCCTTGCCTCTGCCGTACCCTTCTATTCTCAGTTCATCTTGTACTTGTCGGCGTTCTGATGTTTACAGCAAGCTGCATTTGCTCTTGCTGTTTTCTTTTAGAAAACATTCCGCTCTGTTGTACTGTCTTTTAAATTATGAATGAAGTTTGAATGGAACCCCGTTGTACCATGTTTTAAATAGTTAATGAAGTTTGAATGGGGCTCCATTTTTCTGAAATGCTATGGTGCGGACGGACGTTCGTCCCGATGCCACGCTTCCTGGGCATGTGCGCTACCAGCCCAACATGCATGCTCCTCTCTACCTTCATTCTTTCGTGGTTTCTCTAAAAAAAGACAACGACATCTTCCAACTTGCACGGCCGTCGCGGCGTTCCCCGCCGCTTGCCCGCCACTCGCCTTCTCCCATGGCGACCACCTCCCCTTCCTTCTCCCGTGGCGACCACCTCCTCTTCCTTCGAGTGTTTTAGATGTTCCAGATGTACGTTGTAAGTGTTTCATATGGTTATAAAAGTAGATCAGGATGTTGCATATATTGCAATGCTATACACGTATGTTGCAAACTTCTACTCTAAATGTTTCATATGTTTTTTCAGGCTTAAGTTACAACTGTGTTTATCTGGATGTTGCATCTATTTTACAAATATGTTGCAAGTGTTTATCTGGATGTTGCATATGCTTGCAATGACTTTAAAGTGTTTTTCTGGTGTTTCAGACAAAGTATTTTATCTGTTTCAGACGTACGTTGTAAGTGTTTTATTTGGATGTTAAAAAATAGATTAATTGTTGTATATGTTGCAATGCTACAATGGCTTTAAAGTGTTTATTAAGGGGGCCAAATTACCATTTTTATCGAAAACAGTAGATGTTAGATTTTAGTAGACTTATAGTACAATTTATAATGACGTTACGAACGTAGTCATATAATAGAAACTTTTGGTGCTATATAGTTCTCAAAACTAGAGAGGAAAGATGATTGAAAATTCATCAATCACACAGTTGAACTGTCGCTGCTCAGACCTACCGTAGATGCTGAGGGAGTCCTGCCACTGCTCCTGTGCAGGTTTCATGCAAATGCCCGCGCGTTTTGCGGGTTTCTGGCTGCCCGTGTGACGTCCGGAAGCTGAGGGAGCGCGAGCAGTACCCGCGCGCGGTCTGGCTGCCCGTGTGACGTCCGGACGGCGCGGCCCCGCGTGGGCACGGGCCGGGGGTGTGCTGGTGCGAGCGCGGGCGTACGAGTGCAGGTGTGCGCGGGAAACGGGGTGGGACGCAGGCGTCCAGATGCGAGATAGTTGATGTAGATTAAAATGACTCGTTCTTAGAAGTGTTTAGAATCATCCAATGGCAGCCCACGTCTAAAATAAGGGTCCAAAAAGCCCAAGGCCCGTCAAATAAGCCCCGCCCCTCCATATCCCTTCGGCCTTCGCCTTCGTCAGTCAGGACTCAAGAATAGCCATCTCCTACCTGCCCCCAAGCTCCTCCTTTCCCACCTCCAATGGCGCTGCTCTTGCCACCTCCCGCCCTCTCCACGACCCCTCCCTTTCTCTCCGCTCTCCGACCAGCACGGCTACCCTGCGTCAGATGCACCAGAACTACCACCGCCACCGCAAGCGTCTCCTCCTCTCCTCCCGCATCGGCGTCTTCTCCCTCGACCTCCTCACCGGTGGCGTCGGACGGCGCAGGTGGAAGGAAGAGTAAGAAGAAGAGAAGACCCCTCAAGCCGAGTTTTGAGGAACAGGCCCTCCGCCGCTGGTCCGCCAGGGCACCCTCCCAGCGTGCCTCAGTCCCCTGGGAACAGCCTCAGCAGCAGTCGCCTTTGCCGCCTTCGCTGCCGCACCGGGCTGACCGAGAAAGTGGTGATGCGGGCGGCCAGAAACGCAGTGGTGGAGGTTCAAGCGCAACGTTGCGCTCCATCGTGGACTACTTTACCGGCGGCTCCTCCGAAGATGACGGAGTACGAGAAGAGGAAGGGGCCGGCAACACCACCGCGATCCAGGGCGAAGCGGTGCGGGAGCAGGACGATGGATCGCATTTTCGGCCGAGCTATCTGCTGGGGGGCCAGCCAGTCTCTGCGCCGTGGATTCACGGGGAAGAATCGACCAGTGACAAGTGGGTTTCCGGTCCGGTGGCCGAAGGGGAGGAAGGGGTGGACATGAGTGATGTTTCTGATGATGAGCTGGGCTTGGCGGATAGGGATATGGAAGAGATGGACAATGGTGAGGAGCTTCTTACTGGGAGTTCAGAAGAGGAATTGCATGATGATTATGCCACACCGACTGTGAATTCTTCATATGGGGTGGATTTGTCAGTAGACAGAGATTCATACGGTGGCAGGTTCGATAGGAGTATGATGCAGGGCAGCATAAACACCATAGTTAAAACGTTGAGGGATTCGATGGAGGAAAGTGATCCGAATGCTGCAATTGAGCTGTCTAATGCTGAAGATTTTGTCGAGAAATTGGGCCCTGTACTCCTGCCATGGGAAAGGGAGGAGGAAGATGATGAGGCATTCAGTGGTGGCAGGGCGGGGAGGCGCAGCAATACAGAGCTGGCCGAGAGGACTATTCCAGAACCTGAACTGCGGAGGCTTAGGGACACAGCGTTGAGGATGAAGGAGAGGATAAAGGTTGGACCAGGAGGGGTTACTCAAGACGTTGTGGAGAGCATCCACAGGAAATGGAAGGTGGATGAGGTGGTCAAGATGAGGTTTGAAGGCCCTCCAAGCCTGAACATGAAGAGAACTCATGATATACTAGAGGTACCTAATTTTAGGGTTCATTTTTATCTGTAGCTTTTTTTTTCAGTCCAATGAAAAATGATTAGAATTTGTGATCTTTGCTTTTGTCACTCAGGATAGGACTGGGGGAGTTGTTATATGGAGGTCAGGGAGATCAGTTGTGTTGTATAGGGGAATGAATTACAATCTTCAATGTGTGCAGTCATATGCTAAATTTGTAGAAAGTGATTCTGGTAAGGAAGTTGGTGATGCTAATAGTGCTGTATCGAGCCGTGGTGGTCACAACTTGCAGGACTCAAGAGCACATGGTGCGAAGCCCTTAATGTCGACTGACAATTTTTCTCTAGAATCCTCAGAAACATCTGATATTGATAACTTCTTGGATCAGTTGGGACCACAGTACAAGGATTGGTCTGGTCGCGGCCCTATCCCTGTTGATGCCGACTTGCTTCCTGGTGTAGTACATGGCTACAAACCTCCATTTAGAGTACTTCCCTACAAGATTAAGAGCACTCTTAGAAATAAGGAAATGACAGCTCTGCGTAGACTTGCAAGGCAAACTGCTCCTCATTTCGCTCTAGGTATTGGAGTTTGTATCTGAATTGGATGCTTGGACTAAATACTATTCTATCTTTAATGAATTTCAACCCTTTGTATGTACTTGTCATTGGACAGGGAGAAACAGAGAACACCAAGGCTTAGCTGCTGCTATGGTTAAATTATGGGAGAAAAGTGCTATTGCAAAGATTGCCATCAAGAGAGGGGTTCCAAACACATGCAATGATAGAATGGCGGAAGAAATCAAGGTAAAGCTATATATAATTTCAGTATATGTTACATTTATCTGATAACCATGCGTCTATACCCAATCTAGAATATATGAGGTTAGCTTGCTTAATTCGTATAAGTTTGCTTTATATGTATCTATTCTTCTCTTGCTCTACTATCTTCTGATGATACAACGTTCTGCCCATTACCTCCTAGGATTTTTCTGCTTATTATTTGTTTAGCCGTGAAAGTCTGGTTCCTGAGAGTGCAGCAAGGTACAATTCTGCATCCATTGATAGATCTTTTGGTGTGTATCTTTTGGTTGGTTCTTGTGAAATGTGAATGATTCATTAACTGCTTTGGTTGGTCATTGAATTTTTGCTGCATATTGCACCTGGTGAGTGTTTTGAGTTTGTGTAACAAAACAATTGCAGAAATTGACAGGAGGAGTGCTCTTGTCAAGGAACGAGGAGTACATTGTCTTCTACAGGGGCAATGATTTCATAGCACCTAAATTAAGGCAGGTCTTGGTGGAGAAGCAAGAACAAGCCATTACTCAACAGGATGAGGAAGAGCTGGCTCGGCTTAAAGCATCGGCCTCTATTATAACTATCCCCAAGGATATAAAAGGTCCTCTAGTTGCTGGTACTCTGGCAGAAACTACAGAAGCAAAATCTCGATGGGGAAAGTCACTTGATGACAAGCAGAGGGAAGAGGAGATGAAGTGTTTGTCTTTGTTGAAGCATACCTCTCTTTTGAAGAACTTGAAGAGAAAACTGATTTTAGTATGTTATACAAAATCTCTACCTGCAACGAAGTTTACCAATTTCAGTTTTCATCATTCATTTTAAAGACAGCATCACACTTTCCATTCTATTTAGAATAAAATATCATTGCAGCCATTGCACATACTAATTATAATAATTTTTGGACTTGCAGGCAAAAACAAAAGTTGCAAAAGCAGAGAGGGCTCTGGGGAAAGTTCAGGAATTTCTTTCTCCAGCAGAGCTTCCAACTGATTTGGAAACAGTTACAGATGAGGAACGCTTCTTATTTCGCAGAATTGGCCTGAAAATGAGGGCCTTTTTGATGCTTGGTATGACTGATGCTTTTCCCTATACAGTTGCAATATAGAATTCATGATATAAACATCTATTGACCTACATCTATTTACTAAAAAAATTCACAGGCAGACGAGAAGTTTTTGATGGAGCTGTACAAAACATGCATTTGCATTGGAAGCACCGAGAGTTGGTTAAAATTATTGTCAGGGGAAAGAGCTTCGCACAAGTGAAACATATTGCAATCTCTCTAGAAGCTGAGAGTGAAGGTGTTCTCATTTCACTTGACAAGACAACTAAAGGATACGCAATCATTTTCTACCGGGGTAAAAACTACAGGCGACCCCAAATCATGAAGCCTAGGAATCTATTAACAAGGAGGCAAGCACTGGCACGCTCTATAGAGCTGCAAAGGCGGGAGGTAACTCCACTATTAAGTCTTTCTTTTTTCTTGAACTCGCAGTAACTCCACTATAAACTTTGGTCTTCCCTTTTTCCTTTTGCGTAAGTTGTACTTACCTTTTCATCCACCGGATGGGTTTTCAGGCCTTAAAGCATCACATCTCAAGTCTGCAAAGCAAGATCTGGAAGTTGCAATCACAACTTGTAAGGCATCAGATTTCTTGAATCTGAATTTATTTTACTGTTCTGTTTAATTCCCATGTACTCAGCGATACAGTTCCATACTTTATCGTCCAGGTACAAACAAAGGATGCTAGTGAAAAACAGGATCTGAAGCTGCTTCAAACAGTTGAGGATGACCTGTCATCAGATGATGATGATGATGTAGAGGTAAGGCAAACATATGCTGTTTTTTGGGACCCTTACCTTCCAAAGTCTTGCTTGGAACTGAAGTTGATAGGAGCTGCTTCTGTGCCAGGATGATGGGGAGGAAGCTTATTTGCAAACTTACAGCAGCGCTGATGAAGAGGATGCTGAGGATGACACTAATGAGTATATTTGAACTGGTGCGGTTTTAACTGATGAGGCTCAAGGTGGCCATGTTCCGTTCTGAAGCAGTAAAAGTTCAATGGTGAAGACACCTTGTCGCCGCATGACTGCACATCTGCAATACCACGGGTCCAAGAATAGCATGGAGCCACTGAGTAGACTGCAATATTGAGATCAAAGGTACAGTTCATTTCACAGCACAGACCGACACATGAAACCAAGAAAACCTTGTTTTAAGGAATCCAAATGTGGCTATTAACCAACTCCAGTGAGTGGCATGGGATCATCTGCGATTGATATGCTATCGCCAGTTGCCACATTCTAACAGATTCAGAAACGGTACACATTGACGTGTGCAGCAGCCCAAGCTGTTTGTCCAGTAATTGATTATATTTCAGGGAAAACAAGTGAATTAAAATTGCTCAAATTGTTGTTTGAACAGGCAGGAAATGACCATGTGGTGCTGTTTTCTTTCCCTATGTAGAAACTGAAGCTTATGATTTGTTGACGGATAAACAATATTTGAGTCTAAGTGGCAATATACTCTCTCCGTCCCTCGGTTCGTCTAATTCAAAATATTCTAAGTTTAACCATGTTTATAGAGCTCTATTCCTACATAAAAGAAATGTGAGACACTATAACTCTAAAAGTTATCAGAAAACAAGGTGGTGTTTATATGTATCTCGACCTCCCCAGCAAAACCTGTCATAATAAAGACCAAAAGAGATGTTCTAGTTAACATGAAGAACAAGAACAATATGTGTTAATGCAAACATATTAGTATGTGATGATGAAATAAATGACGACCAATCAATGTACTCAATCATAGGAATAGATGGAACAGAAAATAAATTAGAAGTTGAGGGTTAAGTTAGATCTGATCAATAATTTAGAAAGATTATGCATTGAGATTTTGCCCATATGTGCCACCTTTCATGTATGCACCAAACGGTGTGAAGGCTTCATCTTTGGTCTCGTATCTCTTATAGCATCCATTAGAGAAGCCTGAGACTTGAGCGTGGCACTGAGCCCGTTGAGGGTACACACCTGGCTCTCTACCACAGTCCACAGAAGACAACATACCAAGGCATGGTCCTAACCAAAACAGAAATTAGCGATCATTCATGAAATACAAAATTAGTAAGGATGGAAAGAGGAAAACTTATTATCAATGGTGATCATCATTGCATATGCCTTAGTGCCTCGGTTTAGCAAGAATGGAAAAAGGAAAGCATGGTATCAATGGTGATCATCATCGCATATGCCTTAGTGCCTCAGTTTAGTAAGAATGGAAAAAGGAAAACAAACATCACAGGCATTATATTGGCATATGCTCAGATTCAAACAACAATCATCATCACTTGTCGTCCTTGCACTGGAGCATAAGGGCATCATCTGTGAGTTGTATTTAAGAAGCGTCGGTACCTTAGGTAAACGGTATTCTTTGATGCATCCAGGTACACCCATGAAGTAGGCTCCAAGCATATTGTGCATGTCGTCTTCCCTTTGATCTGTCCCGACAAAGCAAACAACATGGGGTAATTATTGGTAGTGACAAAGATAATGGTTCTACATACGAAGTCCTCCTTTCTGAGTGCATCGAACATCGGCTCCCCATACCTTCATAGCCTCTCCATTTCTTGCATCAAAGGCTCGAGGACACATCTATATCAATGCCTGGTTTTTTTGGCCCTTGGATGAGAATAGTGAGCAAAAGGTACTCTCGCCTCTGACACAACCACGTGGGGATACTGTACATGGTTAAGATGACAGGCCATGTACTGTGGCCGCTCATCCTCTCATTGAAGGGATTCATGCCATCCATGCTCAAGCCGAACCTTACATTCCTCAGGTCAGAAGTAAATTGAGTGTGTTTGGCATCGAATAGTTTCCACTGGGTACCATCTGCCGGGTGTGCAACCTTACCATCCTCCACCTTGCGTTCATCATCCCACCATGTCATGAGTGCAGATTCCTTAGGGTTTAGGAACATACGCCTTAGATGATCGACGACTGGTAGGTACCACATTACCAAGGCTAGAATTCACCTCTGCTTCGTATCGTTGCCTAAAGGTGTGTGTTGGCGGTCCTTAACTCCTTTTATTAACTACAAAATATCACATAAAATGAACCAATATGGACACCAAACTTAGAATTAGGACTTAGAACTAACAATTTTCATAAGTTTTGGTGTTTGATTATTTGCAGGAAGACATTCATGGAATACATGGAAAATACATTCAAAATGCGCAAAGAAACAAACCGTAACACGGTATTGCGCAAAGCACAAAGAGCCCAGAAGGAGAAAGCCCACTACCAAGCCAAATCAAGGCAAAGCCATGTGGAGAAAAGAGCCCAAACCCAAATCAAACGATCTCCAATTGGCGTAAAACTTCACGGGCACAGCCCATACATCCCTAGAGGCCCACCAGGCAAAGGCGGTGGCGAGAGGGCCAGGTCAAGGGCGATCGACCCCAGGGGTCGCCCAACCCCCACAAGCGCCTCTCTGCCGCCCCTTTTTCTGGCGGTGGCATGGAAGCATGCAGAGGCGGTGCAGCTCGGTCCTTGCGCCAAATTTAGTTCCCAGCACCACCTCAAGCCCTGTATAAGTGGAGGGGCACCCCCTCTCAACACACAACACACAAGAGTAAGAGCACTCCACCTTTGAGCTTCACTCTAAGGGCTTAGGCCCTAGATAGCTAGTAGAGTAGTATGGTAGAGATGTGAGGGAGAGCACGGGGAAGCACTAGACTTGTCGGTGTCTCCCCAACTTGTACCTCGACGAGCATTTTCACTTCAACGGGTTCTCCCGCTAAGTGAGTGTTTGTGTTTTCTATAGTATAAAGTCTTTTGTTTAATTAAGCTTTACTCTTACTTGTTTGCGGGTTCGTCGTTCGTCCTTGTGGCGGATGCTCTAGTAGAGGACTCCTGATAGAGACAGAAGTTCCTAGCCAACGCTAGAGTAGTGACCAATAGCGTAAACGTGGTGTCTAAGCTAGAAGTTACCTTCGTTTGCCTCGTACTCCACGGTTGAGGGGTAGGCGGCAGGTGGTGACAGCCTTGTCCATCCCTTGTAATCCCCTACGTCTGGGTATGATGTAGAGCTACTGGCCGGGCTCATTTGGCAGACAGGTGCTACCCGGTGCCCGAAGTAAGCAAGTAATAGAAGAGTTTATCTATCCTTAGGCTCTAAACCATAGAAATCTACCTCAACCTCTACCAACTCTACCCTTGTGTTGTCCTTGGATGAAATAGCTAGAAGAGTACTACCGTTCCCTGTGGAAAATACGATACCCTGAATACTTTCGGGTGAAGTGCTACAATGGTACTTCGTGCGCTTGCAGATTATTTCTGTTTGCATTAAGAAATACCAAAAAGCATTTCTGGCGCCGTTGCCTAGGACAATTGCTGTATTTCTTTGAAACTAGTTCGTCCTCGTATTTGTATCTTTTCTTTTTATAAAAAAAATACAAAAAAAATATAATTTCACCATGAAATCCACTCCTATCCAATACTGGTCCACTTCAAAGGGCGAGTTCCATGAGCCACCACTTCCACCAAAACCAACCTTTTCATCTGGCTGTGAACTCCGCCCTGGCTTAATAGCCATGGTTCGGGCACAACCCTTCATAGGGAACAATAATGAAAACCCCTGCCATCACCTGCACGAGTTCAAGGAGATGTGTTCGTGGCTGAGCATCCCAGTCATGACACAGGAAACTTTAAAGTGGAAATTGTTTCCCTTCTCTCTCACAGGGAAGGAGAAGCAATGGTACACACATGCCGTAGAAAGTACGAATGGGGACTGGGATGAACTTAAAGACATGTTTCACCTTGCATTCTTCCCCATGTCCCATAACTCTCTACCAAGGGTAATCCTCGACTTTGAGGAGCGCAAGGAGTTTATAGGTGCAGCTTAGGCCAGGTTTTCAGCATTAATACACGCCGGCCCAAACTTGTGAAAGGTCCTCATATGGCAAGAGGGGGGGGTGAATAGCCTATTTAAAAATCTACAAACCAACTAGAGCAATTTGATTAATATGACAAATAGCGAAATGCAAACTTGCTCTAGCTCTACAAGGGTTGCAAGCCACCTATCCAATAATTCTAGTTGCTATGATTACTAATCACACAATTTGCTATGTCACTACTCACTAAGAGCTCTCACATTTGCTACACTAAAGAGCTCCACTAGATGAACTTAAACTACAAAGCAAGCTCTCAATTCTAGCTACACTAAAGAGCTTGTTACAACTAGTTTGCAAGAATATAAATGAGTGGGTAGGGTGATTATACCGCCGTATAGAGGAGTGAACCAATCACAAGATGAATGCTAAATCAATTACCAGGACAATACCAAAGGGCAAGAGACAACCAATTTTCTCCCGAGGTTCACGTGCTTGCCAACACGCTACGTCCTCGTTGTGTCAACCAACACTTGGTGGTTCAACAGCTAAGAGGTGTTGCATGAACCTCGTCCACACAATTGGACACCGCAAGAACCTACCCACAAGTGAGGTAACTCAATGACACGAGCAATCCACTAGGGTTACCTTTCGGTGCTCCGCTGGGGAAGGTACAAGTCCCCTCACAATCACCGGAGATGGCCATGAACAATCACCAACTCGTGCCAATCCTCCTCCGCTGCTCCAAGCTATCTAGGTGATGGCAACCACCAAGAGCAACATGCGAATCCCGCAGTGAAACACGAACTCCAAGTGCCTCTAGATGCAATCACTCAAGCAATGCACTTGGATTCTCTCCCAATCTCACAAAGATGAAGAATCAATGATGGAGATGAGTGGGAGGGCTTTGGCTAAGCTCACAAGGTTGCTATGTCAATGCAAATGGCCAAGAGAGTGAGCTTGAGCTGACCATGGGGCTTAAATTGAAGCCCCCACAAAATAGAGCCGTTGGCTCCTCAGTCCACTGAAAAATGGGACGACCAGACGCACAGGTCAGATCGACCGAATGCTGGACCCTAGTGTCCGGTCGCGTGATGTGTGCCATGTG